CACGTGCCTAAAGACAGCAACTTTCTTACAACCTCCTTGAGCAGCTGGCCACAATGCTTTAAGTACTTATCCCATGGGAGGCCAGGATTAGGATTTAAACATGTGCACTGGGGTATAGCTTGAAATCTCGAGTCACCATATAAGCATTAAAGTCTTAGCCTCAATGGGATCCTGATTCTCTCTGAGTACCCTGGGTTAGTGATGGTTCTCTGCTCTGACTCTGAGCTTCCTCTTTGTTAGAGAATCTGGGAACTACTCTTTCTTGGTTTCTAGTTGAACTTAGAATTTCTAAGCTCTTACTAAGTCCCAGTATTTATAAATGTTTGCAACAGGAGCTAATGTTTCCATGTTTGTTCATTTTGCTTATCAAATGAAGACATACATGTATTATAGACTGTGTGCTAGGCATCATTCCCAGAAATTTGCAAACAATAAATTACTTAATCAATGCTACATCCTCATGGGGTTGCACAGGATTCAAATACTGGGATATCATCTCATATTATCCTGGGAAGATTTTTATGCTCATTCTTATACCCCTACTTTAATTTATATTTGCATCCTAGCAATTTATTATATCAGTCTAATTTGTCTGCACATTTTTTCCTAATGAACCGTAAATTCAATAAGGTCAAGACCATGACTTTAACACCATATACTAGCAATTTTCATAGACTGTGGTGTAACTTTTTTTTTTAAAGAATGAATTACACCATGTATGAATGAAGCTTGAAGGTGGTATATCAAAGTTCATACTTTTTTTTTTTGGTGACTAATTTTGAAATAGGTTATGCAAATATAGCTTTCGTATAAGTTATTTATTTTTGCCTTAAAGAAAATAATAACCATCTCCTTTCTCTATCAAAGTTCAAGTTCTGATAAACATATGTTTCATGGATATATTTATAAATGTAATGTGATCTTTATCTCCCAAGATCTTTATTACATACTTTCTTGGGTTAGTCAGGATATTCTAGAATACTTTCCACTTTCCTTGGGCCAGGAATGGTAACACTACTGGACCCAGGAATTAAAAGTGAAAATAATTTATGATAAGAAATTGTGGAAGCAAGTATGACTATCATGTAATCAATTCATAAAATCTGATAGCAAATAAAAGACTATATCACTCAAAGGTTCACTTAAGTATTAATAGGGATACCATGTTTATTGCAGTTCAATTCACAATAACTAAGCTATAGAATCAACCCAGATGTCCATCAACTGATGAATGGATTAAAAAAAGTGGTATTTATAAACTATAGAATGCTACTCAGTCATAAAAAAGAAAGAAATTCTGTCTTTTGCAAAAAATGGATGCAACTGTAAACCAGTGTGTGGGGAGCAATCCGGACTGGACTGAGTTACTGGAATTAGGACTTATTCTATGCATCTGCTCTCCCACAATATGGCGCTGGGAGAGAAGTAAACAGCTTCCGCACAGCTGCCTCCAGTTCAACTAATAAACTGTAGGACTTGCTCCTGATTGGAGAGCAGCGTACTCGGCGTGTGGGCAGCCGAGTTGGGATTGGCAGAGGAGGACTATAAAGGAGGAGAGAGACGGCATGCACCAGGAACATCTATGGGGAACATCTATGGGGAACATCTAGCTGAAGGAACACCTGTGCAGCCCCCGAGAAGAGCCGGCCGGCGGTGTGCCGCTCCCCTGCGGAAGTGGGGAATGTGGCCAGGGGGAACTGCCCTTCCACGGAGGTGGAAGGGATAGTAGCCAACCCGGGAAGAACCAGCAGCAAACCCGGGGAGGGCCGAGCAGACGAAAGAACAGCGCAGGGTCCTGTGTCGTTCCTCCACGAAGAGGGGGAGCGACATAATGGTGCCGTGACTCGGATATGAAGCCCAGGCAGGGTTTAGTGTTGCTCCTCCACGAAGAGGGGGAGCGACACCAGTGCACTTTGGGAAATAAGCCAGTCCCCCAAAGACAAATACCATGTGTTTCTTTGATATGTAGTAGTTAATGTTGAATATAAAAAATGTATAGGAATTAAATGGACATCTTGTGATTTGATTGCTGTTTTTAGCCCTTGTTTACACTCCTGTGAAACTGTGTCTTTCTACTTTTTACTTGTTGAATATTATGGCTAGTGGTGCATTAAGCCTAAGTGGAATGAAATTATGTTTTTGCAAAAATTAAAGAAAAAAGGGGCTGACACTGTTGTGTAGCGGGGAAAGCTTGCAGTGCTGGCCTCCTTTATGGATGCCGATGCGAGTTCTGGCTGCTCCACTTTCAATCCAGCTCTCTGCTAATGCGCCTGGGAAAGCAGTGAAGATGGCCCAAGTGCTTGGGCCCTTGCACTCATGTAGGAAACCTGGAAGAAGACTCCTGGCTTTGGATTGGCCCAGCTCTGGCTGTTGTGGACATTTGGGGAGTGAACCAGTGATGGAAGATCTCTCTGTTTCTTTCTGTCTCTCTCTCTCTCTGTAACTCTGCCTTTCAAGTCAATACATATATCTTTAAAAAATAAAAAAAAAGAAGAAAGGAAGAAAGGAGGATGATTGAGGGAGATATGAGAGGAGTGAGAGAAATATGGTTATATGCTTAGAATTGTACCTATGAAGTATATGAAATTTGTTCTCATTGTATTAGTAAAATTAAAAAGAAAGTGGGGACAGTGCATAGAATGTACATGGACTTTGAATTATGAGTCAGCTACACTTTTAGCTTTGTAATGTAAAACCTGATATTATCCAGACCTCATTTTCCTCCTTCGTAAAATGATAAAATTGTTTACATTTAATGCTGTCTAGATGATTAAATGAGAAAATTTATATGAAAGCAACACAGTTCCTGGCAATCAAAGACCTTCAATAAATGTGATTTCAAATCTTCCATCCTTACTTTGTCCCTGAAATAATTCACAGTTTCATTATTTGCTTAATCTCTTTGGTGAAAACATTTGGGGTATCTAAACCTCCTTGTGTACATTTTAGAAGAAAGGAAATACTCTTGCAATTTCTTCTTCATCAAGAGCCTGCAGTATGAGAGAGCAGATTTATGCCCTCATAAGGCAACATAAGATGAATTATTTAATTTTAAGCTCTATATATTTTAAAATTTTGATGTTCACTTTATAAAGTGGCTTGACATCTATACAATTTATATTATTTTATCATTTCAAAATGGCTTTAGTGGGATTATTTTTAAAAGTTATTGGATCATTTTTCTATCTTAGGGGAGTAAAATGTTCTTCTTCTCTAGCTATAATAATTCTTTAATACTGCTCTTGTAATCCTCTATCAAAATTAATGAACATTGTTATAACTTGACTATAGCCACAATTTATTTTTATGATGCAAATGTTCTCTAAGTGGGTGAGATGAATTAAATTCCTGTTTTCTTTTAATATTTAATTAGCTATAAAAGATAAGAGAAATGATAAATTTCCTAACTCCTATTTAGTGTGACTATCTACTTAGTACAGAAACAATAATAAAGATTATTATTTGTATTTGATTTTTCAGTTTACAAACTACTTTAAATATTTCTTATTAAATCTTTCCTAGAATACTCTGAGGAAGGGGTTACTATTAGTATTTTAATATGAGAAAAATTAGTCTCAAAGGGTTAATTTGGCCAAGGACACCAGGCTTGTCGGTATTAAAATGAGATTCCAACTATGTTTTGTTTTCCTTATTATATATTACTTATTATAAAACATTAATTGCCCAGCATATACTTCAATTTCAAATTTTAAATGTGATTTTAAGTGATATCTTGGACTTTAAGGCCATTTGTTTAAAAATATTATTTGGTTTTGATAGAAGAAAATATATTATTATAGTAAACAGTTATAGCACTAAATGACCTTCAGTTGTCTAGGGACAAATTGAAATACACAAAAGTATGCAGACTATAAAAATTTTACATATGGAATTAGGAGATTTGTATATCGAGGATATTGTGTAGAGATATACCAAAGGTTGAGGACATTATGCTAAGTGAAGTGTACCAGTTACAACAGAATAACCACGTCACGGGCCCATTTACATGTGGTGCTCACTGTAGTTAAATTCATAGATGTGGAGTCAGAATGGCAATTACCAGGGGTGGGCAGGAGGGAAGAAAAAAAAGTTTAATGGGTACAGAGTTTCAGTTTTGCTAAGTGAAGAGTTCTGGAGATGGAGGACAGAGGGAATGATTGTAAAACAATGTGAATGTACTTAACACTGCTGAACTGTGTGCTGAAGATGGTTAAGATGGTGAATTTTATGCTGTTTGCTACAATGGATAAAAAGAGGTATACCAAAGATTTCTAACATTATTGAAGATATGAGTTCCTTATGTATTTGATATTGAAATATTCTGTTTTCTACTAATAGTGCATTTATTTTTAAAATTTTAAACTAAATTGACATGTCAAGAATGCCTTTTGCACATTTCAGGCACCATTCACTTCCCCTAAATGGTACAAAGGTATGAACTTGTTTGTAGACAGTGTAGGGATGGCTGGTATACCAAGAGGGGCACTGCAGTCGGATGCAACATCTTGTGTAAGATATGGGGTGGGAAGATATGACAGCCTCTCATGCCTGGGAGGCCGGTGAGGGTGGGGGCCATGAAAGGCCACGAGCATGTGGAGGGGGCCTTTGTGGCTAATGATCAACATAGAGTTTTAAATAACTGGCAGTTGGCAAAGTCACTAGCACAGGTGTGAAGGGCAGATTGGAGAGGAACAAACTGGAGGCAGAAGTAGGCTGCTGGTATGGCCCAGAGCCTGCAAGGAAGCACAGGGATATAGAGAGCAAAGGGGTATGGGACTCAGAGACAGCAAGACTACAGATTCCCTGGGACTTCTGCACCCCCTATAGATTTTAATACATGAAGACTTTTCTCAGTAGAATGTCATGAAAATAGATGATCAATTGAGTAAGAAGAAATCTGGTATTGATTGCAAACATATTATTTCAGCATATATTCAGTTGTCTTCTCTAGGAGGCTTTGTTTATAAAATTTTTGTTTATATTTTAACAAAAATTAATACCTGAGGTCTTGAAATGGATCAGCTGTGACCAGAGGTGTCTCCACTGAGTGTTCAAAAAGAGCTCCTTCAGGTCCTAAAGGAAAATGAAGCATACATCAGTACTGCAGATGGCATCAAACACATTAAACTCTTAGTCTAGACAGTCATCTCCCAGTATCTGTGGGGGGTTGGTTCCAGCAGCCCTGTGGATATCAAAGTCCATGGATGCCCAAGTCCCTTGTACAAAATGGAATAGTATTTGCCTATAGCATATGCATATCCTCCTGTATGCTTTAAATTATCTCCAGATAACTTACAGTACCAAACACAGGGTAAATGCTGGGCAAATGGTTATCATTTACGGAATAAAGGCAAGAAAAGAGGTTTGCACGTATTCAGTGGACATGGCAATTTTTCAAATACTTTTGTTCCATGGTTGAATTCATTTATGTAGAACCCATGGATATGGGTTGACTGTGTATTAAAGCACGGGTCGATTTTGTCCTTTGTTGCCTAATTTGTGCACATGTTTAATTACAGGGAAAAAAATCAGCACAATTCCTTCCCTTTTCTGAGGCTATCACAATATTCAATCAACAAAATATGATTTTCAAAGCAATTACAAAGCAGAAGACTTATTTTTAAAACTAGAGAGCAACATTAGCCCTCAAGTTCAAAAATTCCTGTTGAACTTTGCATATGTCCACATACTTTTTAGGTAATATTAAGTAGACCAGTTCTAGGTTTTATGTATGTAACTTGTGCCTTGTGCCGTTTATTTCTAAGGCACACAGAAAAACAAAAACTTTAAATATTTAAATATTTCTAGGAAGCAGAATGTTCCCAGTCTCAATAGTCTGGGAACTTAATTACATGCAAGGCCCAGTGTCAGGGGCAAGCGCCAGCAGTTTGTTCCATCCTAACTTGCTTAATACCCAGGTGCCTGTGCTGGAGGCACTATCATCCCATTTACTGACGAGGAAACTGACGAGCAGGAAGGTTAGTTAACTTGCCTAGGGTACCTTGAGTTCAGAGTCCAGACTTTTATAAGATTTCTTATACACTGTTAACAAACAAGACACAAGACAGAAAGCAGTGTGCCGGGAGAAAAGCGCAGCTCCATTATTGTGGAGTTGTCAGCAGGTAAGAGTTACTTTACCGCCGGAGGATTATACAGTAAAATGCAGTGGGCCTGGACTTTAAAATGAGCAGACAGGCCAGCGCTGCGGCTCACTAGGCGCCGGCACCCCGGGTTCTAGTCCCGGTCAGGGCACCAGATTCTGTCCCGGTTGCTCCTCTTCCTGTCAAGCTCTCTGCTGTGGCCCGGGAAGGCAGTGCAGGATGGCCCAGGGCCTTGGGCCCTGCATCCGCATGGAAGACCAGGAGAAGCACCTGGCTCCTGCCATCAGATCAGCGCTGTGCACTGGCCGCAGCGGCCATTGTGGGGGTTAACCAACGGAAAAGAAGACCTTTCTCGCTGTCTCTCTCTCTCTCACTGTCCACTCTGCCTGTCAAAAAAAAAAAAAAAAAAAAAAAATGAGCAGACAAACATGAGCATAGGGAGTTTGCGGACAAGGATTTCAAGGACAGCATTACCCCATGGGCATCAAAATGTAATGTGCATGGGCACAAAGAAAGCAATCCGATCCACTGGAAACGTAATGGATTCAGCATGGAAATACAGGTTTATCATTTGCATTGCGCTCAGACTGTTTCTTGTCCACATATACCCATTATGATTTAGCCAGGTACTGTGTTTCTGGCATGGTCCTAACTCTGCTGTAGGCTCTGACTCTGGCTTAGGACCGCTTTGGCTTTGGCCTGATAATCTTGTTTAGGCACTCTCCTGTTCTAGGACTGTGGTTACATCTTACAAATAATTTGTTTTTCTTTATCTTGGTTCCATAGGATCTCAGGACTCCTCTTCACATTGTGTAGACTTTCCTTTTTAGGAAATAAATTTTTCATCTTTTAATCTGTGCTTGTACTAGTTTTGATGTTAGATATAGGAAAAATAATTGTTTGAGTGAAAGTTCCCAGACACTAGGTTAAGAAACCACCATTCTGGACAAAAGTCTTCTCAGCATCCCACATTGAGTAGACAAGTCACAATACCCTCACATCATCCATACAAATTACCAGCTCTGTTAGCTCCATTCCCGCCATCGTGGATTTCTTTAAACACGAAGCTATGACAAAAACCCATACTGACATCCTCATTCAAGAAATCATAGCTTGTGGTACATAAGAGACTTATATCAGTACAAAGTGAACTTTTAAAACTACAACCAGGTTTAGTAGCATGATTTACATAAACGCTATGACCAGCTAAAATAAATGAAGACATATAAATGAAGGTTAACATGTCATGAAAATTCTTATCATCATTCATGTAAGTAATATTCATATGAGAAACAGATTCTGGAATGGGTCACACTACCTGTAAGTGCCATGTAAGCAAACTTATTTGCTAAAAGGGAGTATTACATTAAGTAAGGCTATAAACATTGGTGTTTCCACAATAAAGTGTGCCAACCAAATATGATAGAATAATTTCTGGTTTGCTAGAAGCACAGATGACATTCCTATTTGGCCTAGAGTGGAAAATGTGTGCAATACTTGTATGCCCTGCATTCTTTTCTTTCCTCCTTCCTTCTCCTGATTTGTAAAATATCAAAGGAAAGTAAAGAAAAATCCTATGGGTGGGGGCTCTGGTGTAGTGGGCTAAGCCTCCACCTGTGGCGCCAGCATCCTAAATGGGCGCGGGTTTGAGTCCTGGCTGCTCCTCCTGCTAATGGCCTGGGAAAGCAGTGGAAGATGGCCCAAGTCCTTGGACCGCTGCACCTGTGCGGGAGACCTGGAAGAAGCTCTTGATTCCTGGCTTTGAATTGGCGCAGCTCTGGCTGTTGTGGTCTTTTGGGGAGTGACCCAGCAGATGGAAGATCTGTCCCTTCCTCTCTCTGTTTGTAATTCCACCTTTCAAATAAATAAAAAAATTTAAAAAAGAAAAAAATCCACTTGAAGTGATTAACTAAGACAAGTGAAGATATGCTCAATGTAATTTTACACAAATAGATCTACCGTGTTTCAAATAGCACTGCTTGAGTGGTGCTGTGCTGTGAGAAACTGAGAAGGGTCTTTACATATCATCAAACAACAATGGTTTCTTTCCATGACTAAGCTAAATGAAACAAAAGAAATGTGGATCATAAAATTTAATGTAATTATTTTTTCTGGTTCTATACAAAAGATATAATACTAGAAAAAAGTTTAAACAATTCTGTTCTCTATAAGCATATATCATATCCTTTTAAAAAATCAAGCTAGAAAAGGCAATGTAGTGTAGTTGCATATGCCATTTTTAAAAAGAGGTTTTATTTATTTGAAAGGCAGAGAGAGAGAGAGACTGACTGACTCTCCCATTTGCTGATTTACTCCCCAAATGCCCCCATTAGCCAAGACTGGGCTAGACCAAAGCCAGGAGCTAGGAGCTCAATCCGTCTTCTCTGTGGATGGCCGTGACCCAACACTTGAGCCATCAACTGCTGTGTCCCAGGGTATGTATTAGCAGGAAGCCGAGTCAGGACTCAAAAGCTGGGTACTGGCATATGGGATGCAGGCACCCCAAGGGGCATTTAACTGCTGTACTGAACGTTCACCCCAGCATTTTTAATTTGAGCACAGTTTCATTCTTTTTCCTCTAAGACCTGAAATCATTCACACTGTCAGTGGCACTATTTAATAGGCAAACACAACTCAAGTCTAAGTTCATGACAATTATCTTCTAAGATGAGCATAATTAGTGATATTACATTGGCATGTGATGATAGTACTGCACTTTTGGCAGATATAAACTGTTTTTTTTTTTTTTTTTTTTTGACAGGCAGAGTGGATAGTGAGAGAGAGACAGGGAGAAAGGTCTTCCTTTTGCCGTTGGTTCACCCTCCAATGGCCGCCACGGCTGGCGCGCTGCAGCCAGTGCACCGCGCTGATCTGAAGGCAGGAGCCAGCTGCTTCTCCTGGTCTCCCATGGGGTGCAGGGCCCAAGTACTTGGGCCATCCTCCACTGCACTCCCGGGCCACAGCAGAGAGCTGGTCTGGAAGAGGGGCAACCGGGACAGAATCTGGTGCCCCGACCGGGACCAGAACCCGGTGTGCCGGCGCCGCAAGGCGGAGGATTAGCCTATTGAGCCGTGGTGCCGCAGCAGTTTTTCTATCATTGCAATTCTAAGTACTCAAATTATATGATCTTGATTATATCATTAATATTCAACTCCAAAGTAAATACTCCTTGGAACCTATATAATTAAAAATTTTTTCCCTAAATGGTTTCATAAAATGACTCTTTGTAAATAGTTGCTGATTTTCAATGTACTTTTTTTCCCTTTCATGTTGGCACTCATATTTAAGTATTTCCAACCAAGATTATATGACAAAGTCATCGGTTTAACACTTTGTGTGTGTGTGAAAATAGAACGCATTATTTGCATTTGTTTAATCTAAGTTTTAGGCAGGGAAAGAAAGTTATATTATATCATATCATTATGTAAATCATGCATTAAAATAACCCTTTTTAGTATGCATTATTTATACAAGTAAGTATAGCCAAAAAGGAGGAAAAAAAAGGAAAATAGTCTTCTAGTGTTCACTTTTATTCTCCTGGTTTATAGTACATATCACTGAATTAGACAACGTATCTGCTCTGGCCGTATCTGCTCTGAAGTAGTAGTATTTGGACAACGCCCTGCTGTTCTGGACCCCAGAACATTTAATGATGAATGATACTCATGTGAGGAGCTGTGGTACAACATGGATTGAAATGGTGGAAAGAGTAGTTGAAGAATTCATGGATAAATTCGAGCAATATATACCCAAGTACATGTTAGGCTTTTCTATCTGTACTGGTAACTATAAGGCTAATTCCACTTATTCACTGAGCATTTGTGGACTGAGAGGGGCTTTTCAAGTGGTGCAAAACAATTCCGTCGCTTCGCTTCCCATCCTTGCCAAACTTGCACATCGTGTTTCTCCTGCCTCCCATTCTGCGCAGTCTGTAAGCACTTTGAACTGTTTTTGCTTTTAATACTCCAGTGAACATGCTCTCATATACGGAGCAATGGGCTCCATTATGGTGAATTTCCTTCCTGTCATCTGGATCCAAGCCATGGGAACTCAGTTTCTCCTGCAGCAGAATGGCTATCGTGTTATTCCTCTCGCCACGTTTCTGTGCCTTCCCACTCTCCTCTGGTCTTTTCTTAGCCTCTAATGTTGGCATTTTTCAGAGCTTAGCTGGATGATGATGCCCATGTTTGTGTCTCTAGCCTGGACTTCTGTCCTGGGAAATAGAGAGCTCACACCCAATAACTCACTTACCTTACCCACTTTTCTCCAGGTATCGTCAACTTCAGTATGTAAAGTGTGAGCTTTTGCTGCTTATTGCTATACAAATATAGTCTCCTGCTCAAGGCTTCTCTATTCCCCAGAGAAAAATGCCATCACTCAGCAACAAATACTGTCATTACCTAGACAGTAAGCCATTGCCCAGGAACAAATATCATATAAGTCTCTCCCTGGATGCCTGCCACCAGGGAATCCGCTGGCCAGTCTCTACATGTCAGACACTAATTTGGAGGAATTTACTTCCCTCTAGGACTAATGCTACCATCAAGTCCAGATATTTTAAACAAGTCCTCTAGCTGATTCAGATGTACCTGTGCAAGTTACCAACATAGCTGCTTATCAGTTTTTCTCACCTGGTTCTCTAATAGCAACATCATGGCCTAGAAGGAAGCCTGGGCTACAGAAAAGCTCATGGTTTCTGATTTCCTGAAGGATGGGTTAGGCATGAGGCAATCTTAGCCGTTGCTCAGACTTTTTCCTTACAGAGTGTATGGCCCTACAGTGCAATAATATTCTATTAGGAGTTGTGCAGTCCTTTGCAGACATTAACACTTAAGCGAGAGTACAGTAGACATTCTCATCCCATTTTTAGAAGTGAGGAAATAGTCAAGAAGACTGAGTTACGTGCTTGAGCTCATGCAGCTAGTACCTGTTGAGGTAGGAATACAATCGAGATATCTAAAGCCCACACTCTCAATACAGAAGCTTCTCCAATTACAGTGGGGTTGTGTCACTACACCACTATAACAAGCACCTGAGAGGATCCGCTTATGAAGGAAGGAGGTTTATTTCAGCTCACCGTTTTGGAGGCTCACAGTCCAATATCGGGTGGCCTCTGGTGTCTGATGAAGGTGGTGGATGGCAGACTGTGTGCAGAGAAACTATCCCACAGTGAGCCAAGAAATAGTGGGTCAAAGAGTGTGCTCATCCAACCATAGGACTCCTCTCTAGCAACTTAATCCACTCCAGTTACTTCTCAAAGGCTCCACCTTCAGACACCACAGTTGGATTAAGTTTTCCTCATGCCAGCTCCATTAACATAAGCCTTTGGGTTTTAAATATCTGTGTTAATTGGGCAACCACATCATGTTCAAACTAAAGCATCCCAATAAACTCATCACAAAAGACTACTGTAGTGTAAAACACATGGAATCCATCTACACATCTACCCTATTGCACACCCCAGCTCTGCTGCACAGTGCACCACAGAGCATCAGCTGTGTTTCCCTAGGCCTGCAAGGCTGGGTGGGAGCTGTGGCCACTGCTACCACCTAGCATCCCAAAGAGGATTGGGCTGCACAGCTCTTGCCTGGAATGAGCCAAATTCAACACTGAGTATAATTTGTTCTGAATTCAAAAGTTGAAAAATCTTAAGTTGAACTGTTGTGAGATGGATTTCTTTTCTTTTTTTTCTTTTATTTAATGAATACAAATTTCATATGTACAGCTTTTAGGGATATAGTGTTTCCTCCCCCTCATTCCTGCCCTCCCACCCCCCTTCCCATCCCACTCCCTATTCCCTCTCATTCCATTTTCCATTAAGATTCATTTTTAATTGACTTTATATACAGAATGACAACTCTATACTAAGTAGAGAGTTCAACTATTTTCACCCACACAGACACACAAAATATAAAGTACAGTTTGAAGACAAGTTTTACTGTTAATTCCCATAGTACACCTCATTAACATGGGGAGCAAGTGCACAGTGACTCCTGTTGTTGATTTAACAACTGACACTCTTATTTATGACGTCAGTAATCACCTGAGACTCTTGACATGAGCTGCCAACGCTATGGAAGCCTTTTGAGTCTACAAACTCCATCTGTTTTTAGACAGGGCAATATGCAAAGTAGAAGTTCTCTCCTCCAGAGAAAAGTACATCCTTCTTTGATGGCCCCTTCTTTCCACTGGAGTCTCACTCACAGAGATCTTTCATGCAGAACCGTTTTTACCACTATGTCTTGGCTTTCCATGCCTGAAATGCTCTCATGGTATTTTCAGTCAGATCTGAATGCCTTAGGGGCTGATTCTGAGGTCAGAGTGCTGTTTAGAGCACTTGTCATTCTATGAGTCTACTCTGTGGACTGCTTCTCATGTTGAAACTTTCTCTCCTTTGTAATTCTATCTATTGTTATTACCAGACTCTTGGTCTTATTCATGTGATCCCTTTTACTTATGGCCCTATATACATGATCAATTCCATACTTAATATGATCACTTTATCACATAAGATGGGATTAGTGCCACCCAGATAAATGGGATTTGGAGTCCCCTGGCAAGTTTTAGCTTCACCCTTAGGGGTAAGTCTGTGGGAATGTGTGCCCATCTGTACAGCTCCTCCCTCTCTCATTCCCACTCTTATTTTTAACTGGGATCTATTTTCAATTGACTTACTACATGTGAGATGGATTTCTAATTGTACCAATGAACAGCGCATTTTTCATTTTTTTCCATTTGGCTCCACTTGAGAGATTTATGTACTATTTATTTACACAGGTCCAACAGTGCAGTCAATAAATTTCTGACAAAACATGGCACACTTATAAGCATTTAACATGACTTTGCAGAGTTCATTTACCCTAAAGAAACTTACTAACCCGGGAAATAGCTTTGAAGCCCGGGAACAAAGACTGTAAAGAAATTCCTAAATGTATTTGTCTGGTAAATTTTCACTCTTCATGTTGCATTTGAGCAACATCATAATCAATGAAGGACCACAAAAATTCTTTCATTATATGTATTACATGTTACACTTGGTACTTCAAAATTTCCAGTTCACTAGCTAAGGTTAGATGATACATAAATAAAAAGCATGAATGTTATTTATAAAATGCCCACTTTCTAGTTCAAGGTTTTTTTTATAGAAGAGCTTTATTTAATAAATACAAATTTTGAAAGTACAGCTTTAGGATTATAGCCGTTCTTCCCCCCATAACCACCCTCCCACTCGCAAGCCATCCCATCTCCTACTCCCTCTCCCATCCCATTCTTTATTAAGATTCATTTTTATTTATGTTTATAGACAGAAGATCAGCTAGTCCAAGTTTTTGCTCAATAATTACACTATGAGTGCTTATGATGCTCCAGAATAACCTACATCTGTGGACATAAACATCTTTATTCCATCATAACATTCACAATATGTAATGGAGTTACTAATAGCTCACTTAAACACGGGCAAAAGATGTAAAAAAAAACCAAAAAATAGAGTGGGAAAGAAAAATAACACATTTATGCAGTCATTTACAAAGCTGAGACATGGAATTTCAGCAACTATAGTAGTATTTTGGTAAATGTAACTTTTAGCATTGTTGAGTTTCACACAGGTGCCAGCGAAGAGCTGGTCAAGGCCAAGAACTTGCAGCACTTTCTGGACTTTGGGGCTCATACCACTGATATCTCTGATCCTGATGGCAAAGGCCAGTTTGGGTTCTGCAGGCACATGGAGGTTGCCAGCTTCTCTCGCCATCCTTGCCATCTGAATTTCAGTTCCTGCATCTGCCTGTGTTCCTTGCGGTAGTGCTCAGCTTTTTCATAGATAAGTTTCCTCCTGGCCTTTCAAAGCATCTTTTTGGGCAGACTTCTTTCTCAGGCACTTGATCTGCAGCTCTGCAAAATTTTGCTTTTTTTTTAGGGGTTTCTGGCACAGCAGGAACCTTCTTCCTCTTTTAGCACCCTCCAGTCAGAAAACAGCTGATCAGTGCATTTCTAATGGCAACAGCACTTGGGCTACTTAGTCCCTTATTAATTAGACCATAGTCAATTTCCTCTCATTAGATTTCCTAGTGCCCTGTATGAGTATTTCAGTAAGAACCAGGATCACTACTGCTTTAGACTATGCAGCACTTACTTGATTATGATTTTTTATACTTTGTTTGGTCAGGAACTAAACATTGCATAAAATCATGTGTTAGGATTGTATTTCCCTTCTAGGTGAGGAAACATTGCTTCCTTTTCATTTGGGAGTGTTGGTAATATTGCGTGAGAGACTAGTGTTGCTATTGATGTTCAGAAAAGTGAAGTAAATTGATCCAACCAGTATCTGATTGCTTGTGTCTCCTGTTCTTTATAGAAACTCAGCCAGCAAATTCAAAATGTGTTTCGAATTTTTTTCTTTAAATTTCTTCTTTTTAGTACTCCCCAGTAAGTCTTGCGAGAACCCTATTCAAACTTCAGTTCAAGAAGAATTTTTGTTTTTCTAGAAATACAGGGCATTAAATACCTGATAGAATGGAATAGAAGAAGCTTGGAAAAGATTCTCGGACTGTTCAGACGACATAGGAATACATGATAAGCCCTTGGGTTACACTCACTAGAGAGAAGCAAAGGGTAAGAATATGGTGGAAGAAAAGATTGGTGAGGTTTTCATTCTTCTCGTAGAGTTCCAAAGAATGTCCAAAGAAATGCCATTAAGAAAAACCAAACACACACGCTACCTTTTCTTTTCTACCTGAAATATTGTGGCTTAAGCTCGCTACGTACAATTTGTTTTTGCAGAAGTGCACTCCATGAGAAATCAATTTTTTCAACAGCTACTACATACCAGTTACTCGAAGTCTGTCCGTGCCGACCACAACTTCCTCCTCATCAACCGTAAACAGGGACTTGCCCTCTCTGGAGTTGATCTGAAATTGCTGACTCTGAACTTCTACCATTTGGGGACCTGAAGAATTATAATAAAACAGTTTATTGTAAAGTATTTATTATAAGTAGTGTTTAAACCTCTATTTTATACATCATATCATCAAGCAACACCAAATAACTAGATATTTAATATTTTGTACCAATATTTTTATTTATTTCTACTTCGTGCATTTTAAACCTAAGTCTAGAATAGTATTGAAATTAATCATGTCAAGCATATGCTAATATAAATCAAATATATGTATGAATAAATTTAAAACTTACCAAAATAATATATTTATTTTAATCATAATCAAAGTTGTATTCATTTGGTTATTAACCACTAGGGAATTTGCATTCTGAAATGTGAGATTTATGAAAGACTATATTACAGAAAGCTTGCTTTAGGGATCCAAGTTCACCCAGAAGCTTAATCACACCCTGAGTCTCAGAAGAGCCCCTTTCCTCTTACCACATGGGAAAGCCTGGGCAACACTCTCCTGTTCTTCCCCTGAGAAATTTCCGATTGCTTCGTGACATTATTCCTTCTATTTCACTTTCATCTCTAAGTTTAATCTCTCCCCCTGGGCTGTAGACACATTGTCTGCCAACTCACAAATCTGTTCGGCACATGATTGTGTGTGCCCACTGTGTGCCAGGCCCTGGAGGTACTGTGCCCAGTGGGGCATGGAAGATCATGCTTGGCTTCTCACCCGCTCGCCCACTCATGCACACGGACACGCACCCCAGGCAGTCATCCTTGTGTGACGTCCAGCTTCCCTTGTGCCTTACTTCCCTGTGTGTCCACTTAACCCGGCAGCTTTGAGACTCAAGCTCTCTAGAACACAGCTTTCACCATTGGCTTAAATAACTACCAGAATTTTCCAATGTGTAGTGTGTTTTATTTTCTCAGCTGTAAAAATGAGGTAATTGAGAAACAGGTCATGTGTTATAAGTTTTGTGTTTCTCATCGTACTCATTAAAATTGCTGGGTACCTGATAGAAATTTTAAAAAGCTTTTCAATTAATGTATAAATTACTTTTAAACATGGTCACCAAATAATTCCTGTTCTCATATAGATTTATTAATTTGTACTTCAAAACCTTCCAAGGATTCTTCAGTTATAAAAATAGATAAATAAATACATATTTTTGTTGAGAGAAGTAGGTATAAAGTTCACTTTTTCCATTTTTTTTCACTTTTTCTAGGTTTACTTTTTTTTTAGAAAACATGGCTTTTTTTTGGATATTTGTGTGCATTTTCCTTTTAAATTTATGTTCACTGTTTACCTCTTCTCTTTTTTCCCTAAGGCTGAGGGACAGAGAGTGAGCGAGAGTGAGCAAGAGAGAGTGAGAGTGTTTCATCTCTTGGTTCACTCCTCAAATGTTGGTGATGACCTGGGCTGGGCCAGGCTGAAGCCCGGAGCCTAGAACTCTATCCACATCACCCATGTGGTTGTCGGGGCCCAAGCACTTGGGCCATCTTCCCCTGCTTTCCCAGGCATACCAGCTCAGATGCAAAGCAACCAGGACTCAAACTGCCGCTCATATGGGATACTGGTGTTTCATCTGGCAGCTTAACCTGCTGTGCCACAATGCTGGCCCCACTGGTTTACATATAATGATGGATATGAAGTTACCTGACTTTAAAATTAAGAAAAAGAAATTAGAATAATGTATCCAGTAAAAGTCCACTGTTCTGTTCATTGGAGGGTCATATAATTCTAGAAGGCCTTATTAAATGAAAAGCGCTAAACTTACATTTAATTGACTTCATATTTTTCTGCAACTATTATTTAATATACTCATATACTGATGGCATATTCAACAACTAGATTTAGTTGCACTTTACTTATCAAAGTATCAAAGCCATATAAATCCTTACTGAAAAGACATGTAGGAAAGTGAATCCCTTACATGCAAAACAAGTTGATTGAATGCTTTTTATGTGCAAGGTTCTGTGCTAAGAACCAAGGCTAAATAAATGAGTGACACACAGCTCACAGCTTGTTGAGGTTCATAGTCCATCAAAGAGAGACACACATAGACTTAGTTTCAGGTAATCCAATTAAATGCTGTGTTGAAGAAGCATGGACCAGCGTTCATGAAGAGTCCTGATAAGGAATGCATGGTCCATCCTTGGGGGTCAGGAACAGTATCAGGGGAAGACAATATCTGGGCTGACCTTGCAGAAAGAATTCACAGCTGCCTGATGAGGGCAGAGGGAGGCACTCCAGGTGAAAGGAACTGCCTGGACAAAGGCCTGGAGGGGACGTCCATCTCCAGTTTAGTCAAAGAGTATAGACACTAAATGTTTACGTTTAAATATGATTTTCATATCAAAGGAAACTCTTCTTCAAATGATAACACGCCCATAATTACTAAATTTGTAATGAATCCTTTAACTTTTATTAGTATTCTACTTTTTATAACCTCATGGGACACTGAAGCAGAGATCTTTAAGTAGAACTGAAATTCTACCTTTTTAATAAGAACAGAGCTATGTGGTACAATACCATGTGTAATGAAAGACTTCAGAACAAAGTAGCAAAAGTTAATGGTTTTATAATTTGATTAAGTTTATTAAATTGGCTTAGACTTTTAAGTGAAAATATCATTGAATTCTTCCTTACATACAATATGCCTTGTTAATAAATAGTTGTTTTACCCTTATGATAGCATTAATTTAAGAAAACAACATTTAAAAACAAATATTAGGAAATGAGTGTTTAGCCTAATGTTTAAGATGATGTCCCGCATCAGAGTACTGGGTTCAAATCCTGGCTCTGGCTCCCGGCTCCAGCTTTCTGCTCCTGCAGACCATGGGAGGGAGGTAGCAGTGATGGCTCAAATAGTTGGGTCCCTGTCACCTACATGGAAGACGCAGATTGAGTTCCCAGCTCTTGGTTTTGGCATAGCCTAGTCTTGGTCATTGCAGGCATCTGGGCAGTGAACCAGGAAATAGCTCTGTGTCTGCCTGTCTGCCTTTCAAATAAATACAAAATAATTGAAAAGAACTCACAGAATCCTGGGGCAGATGTTTGGTGCAGCGGTCAAGCCACCGCTTGGAATGCTCACATCCCAGGGTGGGAGTCCTGGCTTTGCTTTCCATACAGCTTCCTGCTGGTGCACATCCTGGGTGACAGCAGGTGACGGCTCAGTTCGTTGGGTCCCTGACACCCACATGGGGGACGTCCTCTGGATTGAGTTCTAGGCTCCTGGCTTTGGCCTGGCACAGCCCTGGCTGTTGCATGTATTGGCCAACAAATATCTCTCAGTTTCTCTCTGCTCTTCAAATAAATAAAATAAAATTTAAAAATTTCAAAATCCTTTATGAAAGGTCCATGCATAATATGATTTGGCAAATGCCAGGAACTTCAAGGAGTTTGTGGAAAATTTGTATTATCTTTAATCCCATTTTTCTGCTTTTTGAAGCCCCCTCATGCAGTATTGTAGAGAAAGTACTGGACAGAAAGCAAAAATCATGATTAAGTTCACGCTACTGCTTTTACAGCATGACCTGTACTATTTGGCTGTACTTTACTAGCCTGACATTAATGAGCCTTATCTGTATTAAAAATTAATTAGAAAAAGATAGAATAGAATAGAATACAATAGAAAAGGTTAAAGACCAAGCTTGAAAGTTCCTTGAGCAAAGTCAGTGAATCCAAGCAAGTGAAACTTAGACGACTTCTTATAAATGCCTTTGATATTCATAGAGGAAACTTAAGTTGGCTTCCAAAAGGGTGTAAAATACTTCTAACTAATTCTCTGCTGTCTGGAAGCTTCCACTTTTTGTTGTTGTTGTTGTTGTTTTATTTTTATTTTTTTAAACTTTTATTTAATGAATATAAATTTCCAAAGTATGGCTTATGGATTACAATGGCTTCCCCCCCATAATGTCCCTCCCACCCGCAACTCTCCCCTTTCCCACTCCCTCTCCCCTTCCATTCACATCAAGATTCATTTTCGTTTCTCTTTACATACAGAAGATCAGTTTAGCATACATTAAGTAAAGATTTCAACAGTTTGCTCCCACACAGAAACATAAAGTGAAAAATACTGTTTGAGTACTAGTTATAGCATTAAATCTCAATGTACAGCACACTAAAGACAAAGATCCTACATGAGGAGTAAGTGCACAGTGACTCCTGTTGTTGACTTAACAAATTGACACTCTTGTTTATGGCATCAGTAATCAACCTAGGCTCTTGTCATGAGCTGCCAAGGCTATGGAAGCCCACTGAGTTCACCGACTCTGATCATGTTTAGACATGGTCATAGAAAAGTGGAAGTTCTCTCCTCCCTTCAGAGAAAGGTACCTCCTTCTTTGATGACCTGTTCTTTCCACTGGGATCTCACTCGAGGAGATCTTTCATTTAGGTTTTTTTTTCCCCCCCAGAGTGTCTTGGCTTTCCATGCCTGAAATACTCTCATGGGCTTTTCAGCTGGATCCGCATGCCTTAAGGGCTGATTCTGAGGCCAGAGTGCTGTTTAGGACATCTGCCATTCTATGGGTCTGCTGTGTATCTCACTTCCCATGTTGGATCGTTCTCTCCCTTTTTTATTCTATCAGCTAGTATTTGCAGACACTATTCTTGCTTATGTGATCCCTTTGGTTCTTAGTCCTATCATTATGATCAATTGTGAACAGAAATTGATCACTGGGACTAGTGAGATGGCATTGGTACATGCCACCTTGATGGGATTGAATTGGAATCCCCTGGTATGTTTCTAACTCTACCGTTTGATGGAAGCTTCCACTTTCTAATAACCAGTCATTGCAACACAGGCCTTATAGGAATATATGCATAATATGTAATTTTATATACTATTTATTATATACTGTATAGATATATTGTATACAATATATGCAATATATTCTACATTATTGTATTATATCATATAATGTATACTATATGATAATATATAGTATATTATATATTATATACAACACATATTATATGCAATATACAATATATATAATACATTAACTTATATATGTACTCTATTATATTATATAATTAATGTATTAATATG